AGGAAACTGTGCTTTCACCAGAGAAGTCTCAAATGTCCCAGGAATGGGTGGACCAAAGACCAACTTTCCAGTGTCATTAATTTTTTGATCAGGAATTTTTTGTTCTCGAATTCCTAATTTTTCAGTAATTTTGGAGCATTTGTTTTTGGAGCATGGCACAGCTGAAAATAAAAGAAGACCACTCTAATTTGTCATGTGTTGTCATATTTTGATATATTTTGACGCCAAGTGCTTTTTGTTAGGTATATTATATCGGGTAAAAATCACCTGGCGTTAGTGATGGTGTTACTATTTAGAGCCATAGTGTTCTAGGGTTAAAGGGCACAAATTGTACTAATTTGTTTTTAGTTTTAGTTCAGGATCTTCTTGAATAGGTTTAACAATAACATGAGTAATAATACAACATTCATTATAAATACAGAGAGAATAGAATGCATGTGATAGACAGATATGATCTGTCTCCTGCTCACCCTGTTCATAAGAGTATTTAAGCCAGATGCCGGGTCCGTGGTTTTCCAGTTTCTATGTGAGTTGTATATGTTTTTGGTTTTTTTTTTTCACATTTACAATGATATTTATAAAGGCTTTATAAATAAATCCTATCTTCAACATCTTCCTTGGATCAATAGTTTAGATCCTCAAAGTTCTCAGTGCTGCCCCCAGGTGTCCCTTGGTAACATTTAATGAAGCCCCTCTAGCAACAAGGAAAGAATGGCCCTACTCTACATTTGATTCAAATTCAGTGGGTGTCACAGCACGACACACACAGCAGCCAACAGCAAAACATTTGGTGTTCTTAGTTGATGGCTGAGGCATTTTAGAGGTAGAGTTAGCAGAAACAGTTGGAATGTATGTACAATGTACAATGTAATTGTAACACTAATAAACTCTAAGAGGTGTGTGAAAAGTGGCAGTATTTATTTAATAATAATATTAACACATTTTATCTTAAGCAGCTTTCAGAACACTGAAGGTCACCTTACACAGAACATAAAAAAGAAGAATAAAGAAAAAACTATCAATTCAATAGGACCTGTTTATAATATATTAAATCAATCAAGAACAGAGGATTCATCTGACAAATGAAAGCAGGACGTTTTAGGACGATGCATTAAAATCAAATGTTTTTGAACCAAGTTTCCAGTTTGTCTCCTTCGCATTTCATTACTCTGTTGTTTACAGCCTCTGAAAGTTGATACTTTGGGCAAAATCACATGTCATATTTCTAAATCAGTTGATAAGATGTGTGAAGATGTTCTTGTGCAAGTGAGCAGTCAAAACAATTTGTGCGCATGCGTCCATGTTTAACCCTCCAAAAGATTATTGATGTGTTTTATACATTATTGATGCACGCTCGTACGCACTCCCTCATTAGTCACTGAATATAGCATCAACTTCAAGTAGCAGAACTTAACTCAGTAACTTTTCTTAAGCATCTAAAACACGGTTGCACTTTCTTGTACTTTTTTCTGTTATATTGTTCTTTCTTCCCTTCACTTATCAGGTAGCATGAAAAAACACTTTTTGGTGATTTCAGTCAAAGTACTGTCGAAGTCAAAGTATGTGACCAGTCTTTAAAATAGTATTGGATGCATGCTATCCATTCAACTACAACACTACATGACTTAAATAGACAAACAAACAGATTATAATGCAATCTATCATTTAGCTATTTAAGACAAGGGTCAGTCTTCTGTTTATTTTGTGCTTTTGCTATAACACCTTTTGTACGCTACACTATACAAATAGTATTTGAATATGTTTACACAACAACATGTACCTTTTGGCCTTTAGACTATCAATAGGTGTGCTTCCTGATTATTGCTGAGAGATAGATAGGGGCAATCGTGGCTCAAGAGTTGGCAGTTTGTCTTGTAATCGGAAGGTTGCCGGTTCGAGTCCCAGCTTGGACAGTCTCGGTCGTTGTGTCCTTGGGCAAGACACTTCACCCGTTGCCTACTGGTGGTGGTCAGAGGGCCCGGTGGTGCCTTTGTCAGTGCGCCCCAGGGTGGCTGTGGCTACAATGTAGCTTGCCATCACCAGTGTGTGAATGGGTAAAGCGCTTCGGGGTCCTTAGGGACTAGTAAAGCGCTATACAAAATACAGGCCATTTACCAACAACTTAGGAATGAAATTAAAACAGGAGACATAGTGATAGCAAAACACAATGAACCAAGCATAAATGACTAACATGAACATGAATCAAAACTAAAGGCCCATTAACATCAAACTCAAGCAGAAAAGAAACCAAACTCCAGAAAACTCACAACCCTCGGTCCAAGGCCATCACCTGATGTAACTGCAATGACAAAAGAGTCGGGTGAGATTAGATGTGCACAAAGTGTCCTGTTAAATTCTAAAAAGTATCAGGAGCCCACAAGTTTACAGTGTTAGTGTTTAGTGTCACTTTTATTTTAGATTTACCTCACTGGTTTTGGTATAGCAGCATCTTCTTCAGCTTTTCATCACTTTTTCTGATTCAGTGCTGCCGAGCTGTTAGAAATGCAACCACACAGTGACCAAAAACTTAAACGTTAACATCAGGTTGTTTTTGTTGTAATGATGTGCCAGAACTTCTCATATCCAAAATCTCAATTTTTAATAAAGGCATAGTGCTGTAGTGAATCAAAGAAATCTGCTAGCATGAATGTTTCGTTTCGAATTGTAAGAATAAAATAAGTAAATGTGTAATTTTACTGTCCTGCAATCTTAAAACAGAAATTATCTGTTAATTTACTGGAAAAAATGTACATCACTCTTTCAAAGCAGACCGACATACCCCAAGTTACCAAGATGGCAGTACTGAACACCAAAAACAGCAAACCTGTAAACCTTTTAATCTGTAATGCCACTGTTGTGCATTTTTGACTCACTAAAATAAGGCATACACAGAGACACGGATCAGGCTCTAACCATGAATCTGTCTAAAGTGCAAAAAACGGGGAAAAAAGTATTATGCTGTATTGCAAATGATAGTTGAATAATTCTACCTTTCTAAGAACCAAAACAGATCCTGTTTTTCCTGTTATTTTGTGGAAAGCACTAACTGGGGAGTGACAATGTCTGAATGTCTGGAATGTGGCATTTAAAAGTACAAAATATATGTTGTCCATCATATTTACCAAAGCCACCCCAGAGACAGATTGCAGTCTTCACAAGGCTGCTTCTGGTTCTCTGGCCTTATGTTTGACATTCCGGGGTTATATGATCAGATAACTGGTTAAATTAGGCACCTCGGGAAATGAGACGGTAGATTCTTTATAACAAATATCCCCCTTTTCAATAGAGGATATGAAATGTCCAGTATTTGCTGACTCAAATATTGTCATAGCTTATGAC